GTGTGTGTGTGTGTGTGTGTGTGTGTGCACATGCACACACAAACATAAACTTACAGTGTTTATTTCAGCACCAAGGGCAGTAACAGAGAGAAGGCAGGAAGATGGGAGGGAAGACAGTCAAGGTTTACTTGGGCTTAGTTTTAGTTCACTTTGAGTGAATGTCTCTTGTCAAGTCACTATAGCAAACATTCTTCTCATTTTCCCAGCACCTGTTCTTCTCTTCTTCCTTTCCTAGTAAGAAGAACATCTGGAAAGCAAAACTCATCCTTACAGATCCTGTAATTTAACAATAAAAGATTCAAAACAAGTTGGATGCAGAGGGACATAATTATGCAATGAAGAAAGATGATCCAAATTATGCTGGGATGACCTGAGTCTGGTCTGGCTGGAATAAGGGGGCTTGTCTGCTCGATGAAAGTGATCGATGCACCTCCTTCACCAAAGTTGCTTCATTATAAAACTTAACATTTTATACAAAGATGGAGAACAAAGATACTTTAGGTCATAGTGTGAAACAATTTGGTGACTGGAATTAGACTTGATTTGAGAAGGTTACTCTGGGTGGAACTGTAGGTGTCTTGTACAAGCCACAGTGACATCATATGTGCATTGTGACATCTTCATACAAAAGACACAAACGATGCATTTTACACAATGTTGTCATGATGCATGTGAAGTCACTTGCCTCTCTTGGGAGTGCCCAGGGGCAGGGCAGCAGTGCAAAATAGGCAGGCCTGTGTGACCTGGGTGGACAGAGTCAGAATTTTATTGGATTGTTTGAGGAGCGGGTTGGATTATTTTCTATGGTTTCTAAATTGCATTGCATTTGCTGAAGAGTTTGCACTACAGTTTCCATGTTTTCTGCTTCAAATGATGGGAAGCCCCAATACCCAATGTGGGTACCATAATCTAGAAGAGTTCCTGGGACCAAGCGTTGTCATAGGGTCACAGTTAGTCCTCTGATTTAATTTACTTTATGTCATGGCGCTTTTAGATTTCTCTGTTTGACCTTGCACCAATACTATTTTTCCATAGATGTGGTAATCTTATGCCAGTGTTGTCCAAACTTGGCCACTTTAAGATGAGTGGACTTCAACTCCAGAATTCCCCAGCCAGCCATGAGTTGAAGTCCACTCATCTTAAAGTGGCCAAGTTTGGACAACACTGTCTTATGCTATAGCCAAGCTGACAGTTTTTCTGGATGGTATCACTTTAAAGTATGTGTGTGGAAGGAAAGGTTTCCTACAGAGTTTATTTATAAATAAATAAGGATGTTGTAGATAAGCATTCGGCCTGAGTCTCCCCGATTATGCTGCTAATGTCTTTAAAAATGCAGTATTGCTGCCTTTCCTATGACTTGGTAGAGATGAGACCCAATGTGCTCCCCCTAAAAGTATACAAATTAGCTGGGGTCTAAAGTGAATTTGCAAGGAGTTGATTTAATTGGAATTTGATTCCACGTGAATTTGTGATCTGTGTGATTTGCATTGGACTCTATTTGCATAAGAAGATTCATTTCTATAAAAGCGGGCAAGTCCATCAAATCATCAAACTGATCAAACAGGACTTGCTTCAATTCAGCAGAATCCTATTTGAAGCAAACTTTCTAATTCAAACTCCACGCAGTCCACTTGTTTTTGCCGATCAGCTCCCAAACAGAAGAAGATAGATAAAAATGTTCCAAAGTCTGTAACGCAGTGGGAATTTTCTGGTGCTTTTTTTTTTTTAAAGACCAGGGATCATTATCCAGTTTGCAGAATTGGCATTAAAAAAATCCTGACATAAGATCTTATTCAGTTCCAAAGAATTCACATCGTTTTATTCACAAATGCATTCAGGAGTTGCATGGTTAATAAAAAATAAATCAATAAAAGCTTTTCTCTAAAAATAAGGCAGCATGAGAGCGTTTTTCTTGAACTGCAGCCCAGAGAGAGGGAGATTTAAGACTTCTCTTTCTATGTCCAATAAAAAATTGCATTCCCGAGATTTGTATTGCTAATTAGGATGTAGAAGAGTTATAGTACATTGCTGTCCCAGTGAAAATAATATTATTATTTAGATTTATTATAGCCACTCCATTCCAAAAGACTCTGCTCTGATACTTAGTATTATATTATTTTTTTAAAAAATATTGATATGGCTACTAATTACACAAATAAAGAGATTGCTAACTTATCTCAAGATAAATTTGTCTTATCTTAAACTTTGGGCTATCTCCAGTGGTACCATTCCTCTAAAATAAAGCATCAGCCACTTCCAAGAAGTTCACTTTCATCCTTGCATCAGAATCAGATTCAATATGCTGATTCCATAACGTACATTATCATCCCTTAAACTAAATGTCTGACAAATGTTGCACAAGATACTCCAGAATCAGTACAGTACTCTGGACTGAAATTACAATTCAGTAGCAACTTTGGGAGACATTGTCCACTAGATGGCAGCAGAGAGAAACAGCTCCAACGTGTTGCTGCCATCTAGCGATGGCCTGTATTTTTCCAGCCTAGATATCATAGTCAAGGCACAACAGATACACCAGTACTGATGCAGTATAGTACAGTGGTACCTCAGTTCATGAACTTAATTCGTTCCGTGACTCTGGTCGCGACCCAAATTGGTCGC